AAGGATTTTAATTAAGTAATTTTATTTTAAATACCAAATATAAGTATTACTAAGTTAATGATTTATTATATTATGTATATATGTAGTTGATCGATCAACATTATTGATTGAATCTTCTCAAATTTATCAAAATCAATTAATAGATTAATTAAAGAAATATTCTTTGTAATAGATTCCACTTTTTACTTGACTATTTAATTATGAATAATATACTGACCACACAAGATTCAGGGACTGGGAGTTAGGATATTTAGAAGAGTTAGATATATTATTCTCCATATCCTAGAAAGAGCCTATCTTTAAAAAAGAGTAGTTTTATTAGTGGCTCTTAGCTCAAAAATATGAATTAATCTGCTATTTAATTTACGACTACTAACCCTACTAATGCTACTAAAGATATTTAGCAGAATGAGATAGGCCAGCAAAGAAACTTTAATTTTGAAAATGCAGAAAAGGTATTAAATCGTTGGTAGGATTTGGGTCTTATTGATGGGCCAGATACAGAATAAATGATGATGAAATACCCTGAGTATGAAAATGAATTATAAAATGAAAAAATAAATCCTAAAATTAAGAACAATCACAATTCAAATCATTTTCATAGCGATAAATATAATTAAAGCTTAAATAATTTTAATAGAATTAATAAAGATGATGTTGACTAGGATTAGGAAATACCAAAGACAAATTTTAAGATAAGGAACAATAGAGATGGTTCGTAAACTAACAGATATAAAAATGGAACAGGAGATTTGCACCGCTAAGTTTAATAATCTCCTAGATTGAACACAGAAAAGAATTTAAAGGAAGAATTATAATAACATTCACTTTAAAATAATATGTTCACTCCTTAAAATAAACTAAGAAAGTCTTCTTAACAAAACCCCAAGAGAAATCTCAATATGCTAGATGAATAGATAATAAAGAATCTTAACGAAAATAAATTTTTGGAAGATTAAAAAAATTAAATAATGGCCAATAATCTTAATCACCAACATAGGCCTTAATACTAGTAAAAATTATTATCTAACACCTAACCTATAGCTTAAAATAATTTAATGTCTTCATCTTAAAATGAATATGGAACATCTCCAAAATATAAACAATTCAGTAAATGGTCATAT